TGGATGAACTAGGTAGTTACGCAATGGGAGTGCCTTGCTCTGTACAAGGGCATCTGCGGCGCCAATTACAGGGGATCTCGCACCATCTTTCAGTGACCCTAGGGCTCTATAGTTCTGCTCGCATCCCACTGTGACGGTTTGGGTCCCGCCCACCGCTATTCTTCTGGGTCATCCGACCGATTAACGGAGGAGCAATTGATGCTGAGATACCTGCTGAATGCCGGCTGCCGGTAATCAGGACAAGGTATATTGCTATCGAATCCCCAGAAACCCATAGTGGGGTATCCCAAATGACGTGATCAGACACTATCATGGCCCATTGCGTGCTGTGCGTCCCTGGTTAGTGAAATGCACTGTACGGGAACTCCGGAGAACGGAACCGGGGCCCGACTTGAGCAGCTTGATCGTATCTTCAGCCCTGGCGGATATTTTCAGTTTGTGGGGGAAATAGGAACAGTGCGATTGGTACGGTATAGTCGATGGTAAGCCTGAAGCAGACATCGTGATGTTGCTGATTGGGCAATGACTGGTGAGGTGCTGGCCAGGGTTGAGTGTTTCTATTCAACATTATCGGCCGTTGTTGGCCCGGATCGTTTGCTAGGTAATCATCATGCTAGTCCTGCTCCTCCGCAATCAAGTCCTCGACACCGCTGGACCGTCGCTTTGGTTGCAATTTGATCTGTCCTCCTTCGCGGCCGAGGAAGTCATCTGATCTAATGCCACGGAATTGCCTGGGATCCACGGACGACATCGCGTGCCCACTCTCACGATGCTGCCGCATGTATTCTCGCACGGGCACCATTGCTGCATCTCGGCAGGCCTCCTTGATGTCACTACCAGAGAGCCCAGCAGTAATCCTTGCCACGTAATCGATATTGAAGTGCTCAGGATCCGTCTTGGTATCTTGCAAGATGAGCTGTAAAATCCGACGTCGCTGCTCTGTTCCTGGTAGCGTGACAGGGAATTTCTTTGGCATACGGCGAAGTATGGCCTCGTCAATATCATTGATACGGTTGGTCGCACCAAGAACCATGATTCGAGCAGGCATCCCTGAAGAATTCGAGGATGTCAAGCCATCCCATAGAGTCATGAACCTATATTTTGTCAGTGGCAGTTACTTAAACGTGACTGTTGTAGAATTACTCGGCCTTGACCATGCCGCTGGCCTCATGCTCGCCACTTCTACGAGTACCGAGGACAGCGTCGATTTCGTCAATAAAAATGATAGCAGGCTGCATCTTTCGGGCCAAGGAGAAAACAGCGCGGACAATCTTGTTCGAGTCTCCATACCATTTCTCTGTTAAAGTCGAGATATGTAAGTTGATAAAAGAAGCACCACTCTCATGAGCAACAGCCTTAGCGAGCATTGTCTTTCCACAGCCCGGAGGACCGTATAGAAGAACACCAGAGGGGGCAGAGAGTAGAGGCGCGGCGTGAGAGTAAAGGTGAGGCATCGTTAAAGGGTATATGATCGACTCTTTCAGTTCTTCGATAATCGTATCCAGGCCGCCGATGTCTGCAATCGTTAGCGAATTACGGAAAGGCATAAGGCCTCAACCTGCAAGCTCACTCACCGTCAAACCCAACAGAGATATCCTCAGGAGGGACCATTTCGAGTGCAACCAGGTTTTCGTATTCATTCAAGACCAGATCCTCCGGTCGTGGCCCCGTTCTCGAATCGCTATCATCTCCATAATCAAGCCCGTCTTTCTTGTGTCGATTTAACCGCTCAAGATGCGCTTTAGCTTGGCGTCTTGCTTGTTCGTGCTTTTCTTTATCGGGGTCGGCAATGTTGCTCAAGATAGGGTTGAGGAAATTTCGAGCCACATATAGGCCAGCCGTCATCTAACAGGCTTCTGTGAGCACAATGCCCTCGCATTCAACAGCGGATTGAGAAATATTGCACTTACCATGCCCGCAAAGAGCAATATGTCCATGGCGACATCGCCGAGCTTACGTCGTTCCCCCATGCCGAGGACCCAGCGCAGCCAAGGGGCTGACTCGGATGGCATGAGATAACAAGGAGAGCAGATGGCAAGAGGGCGATGACTGCCACACGATAATCAAGTCGCAATTGGTGGTAGATATTCCAGCTCAACAGAAAAAAAAGCTTTTGCCAGCGTCACCTGGAAAGGCGTTGACAAGTCTAAAGGTCGAAGGCTGAAACTGGGTGTTTGAAGAATAAAATGGAAGATCAATCAGCGCGTTTCGGCAGGAACCTAATGCGCTGGCACATGCCCGCCCGACATCCCGTTGTTAGCGGTAAGTGGCGGCTAGCGCCAGTTTGAAAGCACGGGCCATAGATCCATGGATGTCCTTGAGCCCATTTGTTTACATGGATGGTGTATCCCAATGAGGATCTCAAGCAAGATCCAAACATTCAACATTGACCTGGGTTTGTCCCCTCCAGCATTCCTATCCCCGCCCATCGCTCGCAATAATTGTCATTGGTCTCCGTGCGATTGCAGCCGCGCATTCTTCAATTCCAACCCTTCAGCTGTCCCTATTTCTCTGGTATTTTTTATCTTGCACTTGCTTCTCTTGCTCGTGCTTTTGCGACACATTCACCCACCATCGCCGACACAAGTAACCATGCCGCCACGCGCGCGCGCGAAGCCCGCAGCGGGCCTTGCTGGACTTGTGGCTTCAGATTCAGAGCCCGACCTGGACATGTTCGATCAATCTGAGCTTCAAGCAGCCGTGCGCACCATGAGCACAACGAAGAAGCCCCGCGGTCGACCACCAGGAACGGCTAGCAAGGTCACTAAAACAGCACCTCGAACGACGCGTCGAAACAGCGCCGATAAGCTCGCACCTGTACCTGAAGGAATTGCGCAACCCGCTACCACGAGCAAAATCAATGGTGGTACCACGAGGGGGGGCCGCAGGACCAAACAGCTTGCCCCGGATGAAACAGTCACATTTGAAGATATAGGAGTTCCTGCAAGTGTTCCTGCGACTGAGACGAAAAAGGGGTTGCGCGGGCGCCCAAAGAAACTGAACGGCGACACCTCGATACTTGCTCCTGAAAGTGCTGTTAAGCGACGTGGTCGACCCCCAAGACAACCAACCACACCCATTGAGGAGATTCCGGAGACGCAAGCAGAAGACGCCATGGAACTTGAAGCCGTACCGGAAGAAGATGAAGATGGCGACTCTGTTGCAGGAACGACTGAGCCCTTGGAGACATGGTCTGGCTATGATACCAGTGACGTCGCATTGCGGAGAAGGCTTGGGGAACTCACCAAGAAGTACGAGGCTCTCGAGATGCGCCATCGGGATCTACGTGAGGTTGGTGTTCGAGAAGCCGAGCGGAATTTCGATCGACTCAAGAAACAAGCTGAAGAGCGAACGGCCGGTAAGTCTCACCCAGGAGCTCCTCTGCGTTGTACATTGTTCTGACTCCCACAGCTGCTACGCAGCTTATATCTGAGCTTAAGGCCGAGCTTGCTGCACAGACTGCTCTGGCGAAGGAGGGTGAAAAGCTTCGAAAGCAACTGGAAGCTAGCGAGGTCAAGGCTGAGAATCTAGAGGGCAACATTGAGACCCTGAACAACTCTTTGTCTGAAGCCGAGGCAGAAATTAAAACTCTTTCAACCAAACTGGCCGCCGTGAGATCGGGAAATGCCAATCCCAGAGTTCCGGGAAGCGCTATCAAAGCCTCGGGCCCAGCCAATCGCACAGCACAGGCGGAGGCTGCACACGCTGCACAAGCCGTTGCACAGGCGAAGGAAAACCTATACGCAGATATGACAGGTTTGATCATGCGTGGTGTAAAGCAAGAAGAAATAGGAGACACGTTCGATTGTATACAAACTGGGCGTAATGGTAGTAAGTTTAATGATCGATGGTCTTGCTCCATACCAATGTATACTGACAATAGCCAGCCCTTCATTTCAAACTCACGGTAGACAACGACGATACTTCAGACAACATCGAGGATGTGCAATTCACATACCAACCGCAGCTCGACGCTGGACGTGACGTCGAGCTGATGGAAATGCTTCCAGACTATCTCACAGAGGAAATTGTCTTCCCGCGGTCTCAAGCACCCAAATTCTACTTGAGGGTCAGCAAATCTTTAGCGGAGGACCTGTCCAGATAGTAGAATATCTTAGTTTTAGTTGTTGGGGTAGGATGTGCCTGTTGTTGGTGATACCCAAGACTTATTTCAGCGTTATGCGTGTACAAACAACTACTCAACGAGGATATGGTTAGTAATGATTCCGGATAGAACATCTGGCTTAGTAGGTACCTTAGGTACGAACAGTATGGATGTATGTGGGTGTATGAGAACCTTGTTGGTAAACAGTTTCTCGGCGCTGTTCGTTTATCAAGGTTACAAGCTTCCAATATCCGTCAAGGTGCGTGAGGTTGGCCATGGACTAGTGATCATAGAATGGTAGACATTTCCAGGACGATTTCCCTCATGGTCGCTTGCGCCTATTAATCTTTCAGAGTTCCCGCCCTTTGGCTGACGGGACCTGATCTGATACCAGGGCTACAGGGCTCGATTTTACATTGACGGGACGGGAGGCTTGGATCCAATGAGACTTTGATGCAGCCAACCACGTGTAAAGCTGAAGGCCATCCAGGGCCAAGTCAGCGGGGTTGTAACTAGCGTATTTCCCCTGCAGATGGGGACCTGCACTAATTTGTCGGATAGACGCGTCCCTCGTCAGCGTCATTCCAATTCTGGCCACGGTTTTATATCTGGTCTTGACCTCCACTTGCAACTCAACTCAATGGAAACTGCCTCTTATTACTTCTTTGCTTGACGAGATCGAGGAGGATTTGTTTGCAGCCTCTTGTTTCTTTTGAAATTTGTTGCTTCTATTTTTCTTGTCCTCTCATTTAAGGCACTTTCGACTCATGTGGTACCGTTAAATTTTGATATAGCATCGTATTCGACCCCCTGACTTACACCAATCAACCCATCGTTGATCGTTCGAACTGTCTACACTTGCAACTACGCGCCGGAGCATATCACTTGCGTCGCCATGGCTGGTTTCAGCCGCATCGGCTTCATGGCTATTGCGGTCGCTTTCCATTTGGTCTATATCTTTTCCATCTTCGACATTTACTTTGTCAGCCCGATTGTCTCAGGCATGCGATTGTTCAATGTTGAGCGTACAGACGATTCTCCAAAGGCTCCTGCAGATCGCCTTGTGCTATTTGTTGGTGAGTTGAACTGAAACGCGTGATTTGGCCAGTGTGACTAAGTTGCTGTACGTCTAGGCGACGGTTTGCGGGCCGACAAGGCATTTCAAGCTCACCCCGAACCATACCCCGAGTCCGATGAAGACCTCGTCCCTCGTCCGCTAGCGCCTTACCTTCGCTCCCGAGTGCTTGAGCATGGAACTTTTGGCGTATCACATACTCGTGTGCCAACGGAATCCCGACCCGGCCATGTGGCCCTCATTGCCGGCTTGTATGAGGATGTATCTGCCGTTGCGACAGGATGGAAAATGAACCCGGTCAATTTCGATAGCGTTTTCAACCGCAGCCGACATACCTGGAGTTGGGGAAGCCCCGATATTCTGCCAATGTTCCAACATGGGGCTGTTCCGGGGAGGGTGGATGCCTTTGCATATGGAGCTGAGCTTGAGGATTTCTCTAAAGATGCTACGGAGCTTGATTACTGGGTGTTCGACCATGTCAAGGACTTCTTCGCCGCTGCAGCGACGAACGAGACCCTCAATACTGCTCTTCGCGAGGACAAGGTGGTCTTCTTCCTCCATCTGCTAGGTCTGGATACTACTGGGCACTCTTACCGGCCTTACTCTAAAGAGTACCTGCACAATATAAAGGTAGTTGATCAAGGTGTGAAGGAGATGGTCGAGCTCATCGAGGGCTTCTATGCCGATGACCGGACTGCATTCGTCTTCACAGCCGACCACGGCATGACAGACTGGGGTAGTCATGGCGATGGACACCCTAACAATACCAGAACTCCTCTCATATCGTGGGGTTCGGGAGTCGCCACTCCCGAGTTGCATCCGGACAGTATTGCCCCTGGTCATGATGAGTACTCTTCAGACTGGAATCTGGATCATGTTCGGAGACATGATGTTGCTCAGGCTGATGTTGCGGCGTTGATGTCGTATCTCATCGGCGCCGAGTTTCCAGCGAACGGTGTGGGCCAACTCCCTTTGGACTTCCTATCTGCGAACATAAAAGAAAAAGCACAAGCTTCCCTGGTCAACGCTCAGGTCATCCTTGAGCAATACCGTATAAAGGAAGAGAGCAAGAGGAACGTAGAGCTCCGCTATCAGGCCTACGGACCTCTGATTAATGAGAACCTTGGCCCTGAGCAGCGCATTGCTCACATTCGCTCTTTGATCGACGCTGGCCAATTTGAGGAGGCAATTGAAGAATCAGACGCTCTGATGGAAGTTGGGCTTCAGGGGCTTCGCTACCTTCAGACTTATGACTGGCTGTTCCTACGTGCTTTGATCACTGTTGGTTATTTGGGATGGATGACCTATGCGACCACCACTGTCCTTTCCTTATATGTGGTTCAGGAGAGCATTCCTCCTCAACGCACATTGCTTGGATCGGCGTTTTTTTCCTCAGTACTTGTTGCTCTTTACTCATCCTTCGTTGTCTCTAAATCCCCACTTGCATACTATCTGTATGCATTTTTTCCTGTTTTGTTTTGGGAAGAGGTATATGCTAGAAGAGCCAGTGTTGCCAAAGGTTTCAAGACTCTGTTTGGTAATGTCAAGTCAGGTGGCGCGGTTGCAGCGCTGATTTTCAACGTTATCCTCTATTTCGGTATCATCCAGTCTCTGGTAAGTCCTCTTCATGTTTACTCGGCCTTTTGCTTACCAGTCCTAGGCCATTGGATACATTCATCGTGAAGTCCTGACGGGGCTCTTCGTCTTGGGTGCTTTTTGGCCAACGACGATGGGCGTTTCATTCTTGAAGTCTCATGTATTCTTGACCCTCTTGTGGTTCTTTTCTTGCTTGGCTATGAGTACTTTCACTCTTCTGCCTGCGATGAAGGTCGAAGATGTATCTCTAATGTAAGCTTTGTCCTCAATCCGGGAATTGTTGCAGACACTAATCAGAAAGCTTGATTGGCGGTGGATTGATGACTGTCATCGGTCTTGCATACTTGGTCCTCGAAGATTTTATTCTCTCTGATTTTACCACCTTTAAAAGCAAATCAAGGCGTCTTCATACAAGTCGGACGCTCCTTGGTGCTCAAGTAAGTTTGATTGATAATAGGGCATATCAGAATCGCACCGCTCATACAGTTTTCAGATTGGACTTATCGTACTTGCGATGCTCGTCACGCACTCCAGTGCCACTTCACTGCAAGCCAAGCTCGGTCTTCCAAGGGGTAACCAAGTAGTCGGCTGGGTCGTCTTGGGTGAGTCAATCGAATTTGATACATGGACATATGTAACTAACAGTTATCAGTCGTGTCGCTCCTCATGCCCTTGGCATATCGGCTACAGCCTAACAGCCACTACATGCATCGCCTTGCAATCATCTTCCTAACCTGCGCACCTACGTTCATCATCTTGACAATTTCATATGAAGGTCTGTTCTATGTGGCCTTCAGCGTCACTTTATTGGCTTGGGTGCGCCTCGAGTACGCGGTACATGCATTCTCAAAGGCCGAGGCCCAGAACGAGGCAGCTGTCGCTGAGCAGCAAAAACGTAAATTGAGTACATTTCGGCCATTGACTCTCTCAGATGCACGGATAGCACTATTCTTTATGGTTCTGCTACAGTCAGCCTTCTTCAGTACCGGCAATATTGCTTCCATCTCATCTTTTAGCCTGGAAAGTGTATCGAGGCTCATCCCAGTGTTTGATCCTTTCTCGCAGGGCGCATTGCTGATTCTCAAGATCATTATTCCATTTTTCCTGATATCAGCGAACTTGGGAGTTCTAAACAAGAGATTAGGTGTTGCACCATCTGCGCTCTTCATGGTCGTCCTCACAGTCAGTGATGTTTTGACACTCTACTTTTTCTGGGTTGTGAAAGATGAGGGTTCATGGCTGGAAATTGGCTCAACGATCACGCATTTTGCAATCGCCAGTTTCTTGTGTGTGTTTGTTGCGGCACTTGAGCTGGTGAGTGCGGCATTCATTGTCGGCATTGAAGTCGAACATGAACGACCGGCTGTCGACAATGGCATCAAGCCCGAGACAAACGGTAAGGTTCCGTCCAAGACACTTGCAGAGTAGCAATGGACAGTAACTATCCTGCAAGGGGTGTTTAGTTCAATGTATAATAATGATCTCTTGATAGTTCAAAAAGTCACCAACAATATCCTCGGGGAGCAAGAAAACATAAGACGTCAAACGAGAATGCCAAAATAAACCGAGTAAAGAGTTCCCTAAGCTTTGGCTATGTTACCCAAGTCTTTTTATCATCTAGGATCAAGATCCCTAGGTTTTCTTTCCTCCCCTAGAATATCTAATTTTTCATTGGCAAAGTGACATCAGGATTGGTTGAAGAACTTGGAATACGAACGTGAACCCATGTGACAGTCAGCAGGGGCACAGCCTCAAGCTGTATAGGGCTGAAGGGAAAGCCTACCGGAAGATGGCCGGACTCCAGGGTGACACGGCCATGAAAGGGTTGTGTCTAAGGATTCTTGGCAGCATGTATTCTGTTTAGCTGCGCATCCATCACGATCACAACGAATTAACGATGTTGCAAGGGCCTGCTGAGAAGAATCTGGGGACCGATTCGGAAGCCCGGAGGTGTGGGTCGGATTTTGCGAGGGCCTCACCGTAGTGGGCGTACGTACATACGTACCAGTTTACCATTTTCATGTGAAAAGCTTAAGTGAAACAAAATGGGACTTTGGGAACGAGGAACGATTATGTAGTAGACATATACCTTAGTACAGTACCTTACCCAGTAGTGCCTCGAATGGTGGGCATATAGAGCTTGCATAGATCCTTATCCAGCCTTGAACTTTACGTCAGGTACTGAGCTTTGGCGTGGAAGCTCGGTTCTGACCAACTGTTCGTTCAGCTCGAACATGAATCTCACAAAAAGTTGCTTCCCCAGGTTTTGACCCGACTTGTTCTGTTTCGACTAGTGAACTTGCTTCAACTGTCCAGACCAAACTTAATTAGGAACTTGGGCCGCCGCCATGAGCCCTCAAAACGTTCACATGCCACGAACCACCGCATTGTTAATAAACCAGCCATGACGACGTCGACAAGACAGCCCGCCATCTCATCATGATCCCAACTGTCCAACTGTCGATCAATCCATGAGGACTTCATTTCATGCACAAGCTCTTTTTAGGCGTGAGACGTCGACAGACTGCACCTCTCTGAACTCTGAACGCAGGCACGCGCTCCGAGAGACTGGTCACGCGCTCACGCCGCAGTTGCTAACTAGATGATAGGTAGTGTTCCGGAGATAGATCATGCGGCCTGGGTTTTAATGAGAAGGATCCAATCTCAGATGATCTATGTATATTGCCAACGGTGTCCTCCTGGATCTAACAAGGCAGTTAAAGTGTAAGGATTTGAGATGACTGGGCTTTCACAATTCACATGGATTCCTCATATTGGTTAATGTCTTTGAATCTTGCCTGGCCTTGTGCTGCACCTGTGCACGTAGTACTATGACATTCACGAACCGTTGTGTCTAACTTACTCCGTATGGGTATGTACAATTACTTTGCCCTCTCTCTCGGGGATTGCACTTGATACGGCATCAATCAGCAACTGGCACGGTTTGCGGAACAGGTTCCATACAGCTGTGGACCCTCTTCAACTGAACTGAGCGCCGAGTTCTTCGCACCAGAAGACGGGCCCATAGTGGAGAGGTGTTGTCCACCATCTCCGACATTATGTACAGGGCCACCCTTGAACCGCAGTGCAGTTGAGAATCTGGAGGAGTCCGCGCACCCCCGACACTCCCGCTATTCCTCCCCTTTCCATTTTGTCCTTTGCTTCCTTTCTTACATGGTCCGAGACAAATACGTTCTGATTATTGGTTAGTTGGTCGATGCTTGAGTAGGTAGTTGCTTTGTCATTCTCTGCGATATTAACCCTTCTAAACCTCTCGTTCTCCCCTTCTACTAACTTAGAAGACATCTTCCCCGTCTCTACATTACTACTCCGTACCTACTCCGTATATAATCGCGACTTTCAAAGCCCGGGCAGATCTCTAATTTACGTATGGATATCCCCGCTCCCGCCGCTAACGCGCAACTCGGCCGGTTCCATTCCATTGTTGGTAGCTGTCAAGCTGACCACTAACCACTACCTATTCGCTATCCAACTAACTAATAACTGAACTCCGTAACCTCTAAGGCAATCCCTTAGGTTGTTACCACTACAGCGGGGCATTCCACCGACCGATCCGTCTGCTTACAATTAGGAGTCTTGCTGTTGCTGGGCGGTGTCGTAGAAACCGGACCCCTACTATACGCTTTTCTTTGTTCAAAAACAAAACGCTTTCAAGACTCAAGGTTGCAGTCGAGGTTACAGCCAAGGGGTCTGTACCCGAGGGTTTCATTTCATTCATTTTACCCAGCTCAGTCCCGCCAGATCCAATCGAAAGATCTTCAGACCTGCCGTTTTGGTGTGGTTCGCTCAAACCAAGCCCGCTAGGTCCAGTGAGGTACCTGCTAACCTACCTTACCTACCATACTGGTGTGGTGCCTTTGGTTGCCCTGTGTCAGTGCTTCTTTTTGTCTACCTGCCCTGGCGCGCAAATCCATCGCATGGAACCTGGCTTGCCTTGATCTGCTTTGCCTTAACGTTACCTTCCTGCCTTAACTGCCTTCTCAACTCGACCATCCCGTCCTGTCCCCCTCTTCGAAACCGACTTTGACATTTCTCGATCGCTTCCGCTTCCGCCTCAATTCCTCGCCCCCGACATTTCCGATTCCATGGACGTGGACATGTCGTCAGGCAGCGGTACGCCGCAGGCGCAACCACAGCAGCAGCAGCCAGGGTCGCAGTCGTCGGCACCAGCTCCGCCCGCTCCAAGCACCTCAACATCGACTTCCGCTGGCGGAGTGAGTTTTCGAAGGTGAGTCAACGTTATATACTCGATATGGTGTTGCAAGTACTAAACTCGTTCTTTTAAAAGACAGCGAGCATCGCGCGCATGCGAGGTAAGCACCTTTTTAAGTCTTCTGCCGAACCTAGACACCCATGAGAGCCTGCCCCCCTCAACATGAGCCGAGGCATTGGCGCGCTCCAGCCCACTTCGTCATGATTCTTTATCGCGACAGGTGCACAGCTGATCTTCTTCTTGGGAAAACAGTCTAGACCATGATGCTAATCAACGCTTCCACAGACTTGTCATGCTAGAAAGGTAAACGCGAACATTCGCCTATAGGAGTCCAGAGCGACCCAATTGGTTGTCGACTTCACCACCAACAGCAATATTAACCATCATATTCTGCAGGTTCGATGCGACGCCGCAAGTCTTGGTGTGCCCTGCACCAATTGCGTTGCCTTCCAGATCGAGTGTCGTATCCCGAATCCGAAGCGCAAAAAGACACAGGGCTCTGGCAGCCAAACCAATAAAGACTCTGATAGGTATGAAAATGCGCCCCCAATCCTTACTCGATCCTGAGCGCTGACCAAAGGCTCCTTGATATGTAGCGATCGCGGCGATGCAAACGAAGACCCTTCACCGCGCCCTGTGGCTCCTTCGAGCACTTCATCACTCACCCCGCGAGCTCCTTCGGTATATCATTCCAACAATGGCACACCTCCCACCAACTGGACCGAAGCTCAAGCACGCAAAGAAGAGGTCGACAGTGGGACCTATCTTGACCTTGTAATGAAACCCAAGTTTACACGCGCTCCCATTACCGAAGCTGGGCGGGTTGCATACCTTGGCGAATCTTCCAATCTGACTCTACTTGTCCATGATCGTCAAGGCTCAGCAGATGTTGTGCACTATCCACTGCCGGAGAACGTCCGCGGTTCTCGAGCTCGACTTACTGAACTTGACAACGTCGAAATCGATATCCTGCATCAAAGAGGGGCATTTCTACTGCCTCCGCGATCACTATGCGACGAGCTCATCGACGCTTACTTTAAATGGGTGCATCCTATCGTACCCGTCATCAATCGTACCCGTTTCATGCGACAGTATCGAGACCCTAAGAACCCACCATCGTTGCTCCTTCTTCAATCCGTTCTTCTGGCGGGTACTCGGGCCTGCAACAACCCACAGCTGATGGATGCCAACGGTTCAACGACTCCTGCTGCTCTCACATTCTATAAACGTGCCAAGGCCCTGTACGATGCAAACTATGAAGACGATCGTGTGACAATTGTTCAGTCCCTCCTTTTGATGGGCTGGTATTGGGAAGGGCCAGAAGACGTCACTAAAAATGTCTTCTATTGGAGCCGTGTGGCGACGATTGTTGCGCAAGGCTCAGGCATGCATCGATCCGTGGAACAGTCACAACTGAGCCGGGCAGACAAAAGGCTGTGGAAGCGCATATGGTGGTCCCTCTTCACCCGCGATCGCTCAGTCGCAGTTGCTCTGGGTCGCCCAGTTCACATCAACCTTGACGATGCAGATGTTGAGATGTTGACTGAGGACGACTTTATTGAGGACGAGGTTGATCGAGCAAGCGAGTATCCTCCTGATCCCATCCACGTGCAATTTTTTCTCGAATACGTCAAACTATGCGAAATCATGGGCCTGGTCCTATCACAGCAGTACTCGGTGGCATCAAAAGGAAGACAACGAAATGCTATCGACCTCACACACAGCGACATGGCTTTAGCTGACTGGCTACAAAATTGCCCAAAAATCGTCTATTGGGAGATGCCTCGTCATCATTTCTGGTCCGCGTTATTACACTCAAACTACTATACAACGCTATGTCTTCTTCATCGAGCCCATATGCCGCCGGGTGGCTCATCACGATTACCTGACCCTTCACCTTACCCCTCACGCAATATCGCTTTTCAAGCGGCAGCTATGATCACATCGATCGTAGAAAACCTCGCCGCACATGACCAGTTGAGATACTGTCCAGCCTTTGTTGTGTATAGTCTGTTTTCTGCTCTGATCATGCATGTCTATCAGATGAAGTCTCCAGTGCCATCGATCCAGCAGGTGACACAGGATAGACTACGCAGCTGCATGTCGGCCATGAAGGAGATTTCACGAGTATGGCTTGTTGGAAAGATGGTTTATGCTCTCTTTGAGTCCATCATGGGCAATAAGGTACTGGAAG